ACCATAGACCACATACATACCATTCGGCCAATTGTACAGAAGACCGAATACACTCTGTATCTTTGCCTAGCGTATGTGAATTATGAGAAAGCCTTTGATTCCGTCGAAATTTTGGGCGCTGCTACAGTCCCTTCAGCGGTGCTAAGATATCCCCAAAACGCTTCACCGATGCATTGGAAGACGTTAAGCTACTGGACTGGAAAGGATACGGTATTAACGTCAATGGCGAGTATATCACTCACCTTCGATTTGTCGACGATATAGTCCTTTGAGCAGAATCGCTGGAGGACTTAAGCACTATGCTCAATGACCTCAATAGTGCCTCACAACGGATAGGTCTTAAGATGAACATGGACAAAACAAAGATCATGTTCAATGTCCATGTCACACCTATGCCGGTAGTTGTTGGGAGCACTATGCTCGAAGTTGTTGACGAATACGTTTACCTGGGACAAATAGTCCGACTAGGTAAGTCCAACTTCGACCGAGAGGTCAATCGACGGATTCAACTCGGCTGGGCAGCGTTCGGGAAATTACGGCATATCTTTTCGTCAGGTATACCTCAATCTCTAAAAACTAGATTGTACAACCAGTGCGTGTTGCCAGTGATGACTTACGGATCTGAGACGTGGTCCTTCACTGCTGGCCGTATGAGGACGCTTAAGGTCGCTCAGCGAGCTATGGAGAGGGCTATGCTCGGAGTTTCTCTGCGTGATAGACTCAGAAATGAGGATATCCGCAGTAAAATCAGAGTGACCGACATAGCCCAACGGATTAGTAAGCTGAAGTGGCAATGGGCCGGCCATATAGCTCGAAGAACCGATAACCGATGGGGAAGAAAGGTTCTCGAGTGGCAGCCTCGTACCGGTAGGCGTAGTGTAGGGCGATCCCCCACTAGATGGAGTGACGACCTGGTAAGACATGCAGGAAGTCGATGGATGCAGGTGGCTCAGGACCGTGCTTTGTGGCATTACTTGGGGGAGGCCTATGTTCAGCAGTGGACTTGTGAAGGGCTGTAATGATGATGATGATGATGAAGCGAAAAACCCATTTACTACGTACTTTATTATTCTATGTAAATATCGTAAAAATTTATTTAATTTTGTTAAAAAAATAAATAAAAAAGTGCTTTAATTACGTGTATATGATGTGAAAACTAGTAACATATATATTATATGACAACTAATAATGCATAAATACAAACAATTTGCAAGAAATCATTTCGTGCTTCGAGATTCATTTTATTGGTTCGGGCAGACGTAATTAACACAGCTTTCCTTTGAACAGACCAATAAGTGGTCGACGGTGAAGGTCTCTGTAATATTATAAAGCACCAATTTCGAAGGAATCTATATTGAAAATTAAGTGCGGAGCTCGTTAAGTGCTACATCTAATATCAGTTAGGTATTTAGTGCCCAAACTTAAATTATTTGGAACTTTAGGAATGAGGTTACTGAAATAGGTGTGTATTGTTCGGATCAACATCATCACCTTTTTCATAACTGGTTAAACGAGACGTTTTTTATAGAATGAGGGTAACAAAATGGCACACAGTCCACCTGATGGTAAGCGGATGCTGTCGTCGATAAACAACTTCAATCAAGGAAGGCTACAGATGCGTTTTCACTGAGTGAGGAACTGCCTCGTTTTCAGTAAAAACGGTTACCGGTTCTTTACACTTGCCATATAAAATATAGCAGCATTAAGCTGGTATTTTGCGCTAGTATTCTGTGAGGGCGTAGTCTTACCACGGTCGAGCCGGCCCAGTCGTAATACTACTACGTAATATAACATACGATATCGGTTCAAGGGATAAACGGCAAAAGTGTGATAAACTAGATGTAAACAGTGATGCGCTTATTTCAGGGATAACCGCTATATATAACTTAGTTATATAACTTAGTTTACTCTGGCATACCTAAATGCTTTACCATCTGGTAGAGCAATTATTAGCTTAGCCCCAATATTTACGATACGGTACAACAGTTATTACAATAGCGTGACTATTGCAATAACTGTATAGGTGTTTGTGTAGTAGTTAACATATACCAAGGGGGCCTTTTGTAATGATTTCATAATTACATCTTGCAGGACACAATTAAAGGCTTTCTTATTGCTGGTAATTTCCGGACCCCTAAGTTTAAGAGTATACTGAAAAGCTGCTAGTGCTGGATGCATGTGTCATTGAATGCAATAGTAATTTAATATCAGGTGGACTATAAGTTCATTTGTTGCAGTTTCATTAAAAACTCCATTTATATAATAAGTAGTAACAGTGCTATTTTCGATTTTTCTAAAGATGAAGTAACCGTTTAGTTTGAATGCGTGGAAATATGTCAATATTAAAAAGAGAATAAAAAGTGCTCAGTTGTCAAAAATTAGAAAGGGTCGGATGGGACAATTCAGGGTGTATAATTTCAGCCCACACACTCCTTTTTTAATGTTAAAGTAAATTTTAACAAAAGTACTAAAATATCTTATGTGATCGATGTCATCGATTTATTCAGCGGACAACAGTTCAGACTTTGATATTGGGATTTGGAGTATGATGAAATATGTGTTCCATTTCCTTCGAATACTTTTTATGGCAATAAACATTTGTTGATCACAGCGATAGAAAGGAAATCATTTGTTGTTTACATAACCTTGATTTATAAGCATGTTATAACACAAAGGATAACTTTTTTTAATCTATTTGGTGCTCTTTCGTAATATAAATGCTTTATGAATAATTTGTGTTTTGCAAAACGACTCCTATGTTTACCTTTGGGAACTTAACATTGCTCAAAAAAATTTTAAGTAAGTCGACCAATTGATTTATTACCCTTATACATTATATTAAAATTATTTTAATTGCAGTTGGTTTTTTTTTAATAGAAGAGGGGGCAAACGAGCATGCGGCTCACCTGATGTTAAGTGACTACTACTGCCCATGATCAACCGCAACACCAGGGGAATTGAATAAGGGGGTTAATATTAATGAGAATTTTTTATTTTAGTATTCTCATTTATTTATTTTTAAGTTATTTATTTTATTTTATGTTATGGAAAACCAACAGCTTATACAAATCTTAAGTAAATAACATATTTAATTACAAGAAGCCAATAACAGGTTCTCTCTAATAGAAATTAAATAACATAGGTAATATTTCGTCGTTTAAAGCACATAGCACAAATACGAGCATTGCAAATGGAGTCTAATTTAAATGTATAACATGCAAAAAATTAATAAGTGAATCAGACAAAAATAGCCAAAACGTAAAAAGAAAAGCAGGGATACACGCACAACATATTTTTTTAAATTAATTACGACACAAAATACTCTCGACGTGCTGCTTTGCCGGTACGTAGTATGAACGAATCAAAATCGTTCTTTTTCATAAAATATAAAAATATATTACTAGACCGTCATAATATGAAAGTATTTCTTCCATAATAGTAGATAAGCGGCTAAGTAGAGTAATGCATTTGTTCTAAGGTTCACTGGCGTTCTCAGTGAAATTTGTGCTAGCAGATCAGAGCATTCAACATTGTCAGAACAGATTTCTAATAAAAATACAATGTCAGTAATCTCACGACGCTTTGTCCGACTATGCTGCAAGCATAAGGATGGGTAGTCTTCGGATCGGTAGTTTATATGGGTAGGATAGCAACGATGTCGTATATACTTAAGTTGGATGCTTTCAATCATATTCGACCGTACTGTGAACGTAAGTATAATATGAGATTTTAATCGTTTTAATGTTATAAAGCTCCTTTGCAGTACGCATGACAAAACCTAACGCTTTGAATGCTCTAGCTATGATATTGCCAACATGGGCATTGAATAATAACTTAGAGTCGTGGAAAATCTCTATATCACGTACAACAGATTCTTTTTGTAACTTCTGGCCTTTAAGGTGATAGTCGAAATGAACTACGTTTTGCTTGCGTGAATATGTAATAAGGGTACATTTAGATGGGTTTGTATCAAGTTATTGATATTATAGTATTCCTCCGATCTTAACAGATTTCCTGCAGTAATTCAGCATCAGTCTGAGATGAGATTGTGGCAAATATTTTCATATCCTCTAAACTTCGGAGAAAAATTTTGTTTCCAAAACTCAATATCTTTTATATATTTGTTTCATGAGTTTATCAAAGTTATTGGCAAAAATAATAGAAAAAATCCTGTGGTTTTTCGTGAAGATTTTCCTTATGTTTTCGACTGAGTACATAAGGACTTGGTCCTACATGGTCATACAAGGATACTCCGACAGTTAACATAAAAGTATTTTATTATTTTCTCATCATTAATAATTCTTCTTTTTGTTGGTTTATTTAATTGTTACATTTTATAGCAGGAAACACTTTATTTTATTTGGAATTGATCACTATTTAGGAAAAATTATCTTTGGTACTTTTTAAACCTAGTAACAACTATTTAATGTATTTTTTTATTAATTAGAGTAATTTATAACTTCACTCTTGAGATCATAATTACATAAAAATGAGCATAAACTATAATTACTATTAAATTAAATACTAAACGAACAAAAGACTCAGATGTGACCTTCATAACTGCAAAAGAATTTTAAAAGCTTAGTTAAAATATAGTGTAAGTATATTCGCCGACAATCATCATCATCAACATTCTGATTCTGTTTCAAAATGCTAAAGAAACTCTCCGGATATCCTACAGATAGATTGCATCAGGAAAGCAAAATTCTTAATGTGCGTCAATTATGCATTTTAAATTTAGCTCACGCCCGTCACGCACAGCCCGACACGGCGGAAGGTGGAGGACGGAGTGCAGAGTTGGCACGTGGAATGTTAGAGGGGGCATGAGAGATAAGACGAATGAGTTGATCGAAATAATGAAAAAAATACACAAGACGCCACAAAAACAAAAATGGAAAAAAAAAAAAGGAACCCCCTCGAAAATTTAAGAAAAAAAAATGGGCAACAAAACCGGGGGCAAAAAAAAAAAAGAAAGAGAATAACCCGTAGATGTCGTGTGTATGTCGGAGACCAAACGGAAAGGCAGTGGTACTGAAGAGCTCCCTGGCGGGACGTTAGCTATATGGTCCGGAGTCCCGGAAAGCGAGAACGCCTGCCAGGGAGTGGGAGTGCTGTTGTCGTCCCGGTTGGTCGATCTTATGACTGAATACAAGGTTGTGAACTCAAGACTTCTCTGGGTTCGCTTCAAAATGGGACTGACGAAGTTATTCCTTTTGGCTGTTTATGCGCCGGTAGCTTCGTCGTCCAGGGCTGAGCTGGAGGAGTTTTGGGAGAATGTAAGAGAAGTTCTAGATTTGGTTAAGGGAAACGAAAGAACTGTTGTATGTGGTGATTTGAATGGATGGGTAGGTATCGCTCGACCAGGATACGAGTCGGTGCTTGGAAAGTTTGGCGATAAAAGGGTTAATGATGCTGGCAAGCTTATACTGGCTGTATGCAAGGAAAAGGGTCTTCTTGTGACAAACACTATGTTTAATCACAGGAAAATCGATATGTAGAAAAAGAAAGAATGAGAGAAGTATGATTGATTTGTTCCTGGTGGATGACCGACTGCGAAAACAGGTGATGGATACACGAGTGTTCAGGGGTGCTGACCTGGGAACGGATCATTATCTAGTAATTACTAGATTTAGGGGTTTGTTCGCGGGTTGGCGCTACCGGACGGCAGTAACAGAACCACAGTCGGTCTGTCGCATCCGAAGCTGGAAGCTTCAGGAAGCGGATACTAGGGACAAATATCACACGAGGGTAGCCGAAAAGCTTGACACCATCGATGGCAGGAAAGAATGTGTGGAGAGAACATGGCAGAACCTTAGGGATGGAATGGTAAGTGCAGCGGAAGAAGTATGTGGTACAACAAAAAGAGGTAGTAGTAAAAGAAGAGATGCATGGTGGAATGATGAAGTGAGAGAAGCTGTAAAAAAGAAGAAAAAAGCATGGTTAGACTACTTGGCCTCTAGTAACGATGAGCATATGAGAGAAAAGATGAAAGAAAGATATAAGCTGCAGAAAGTTCATGCGAAAACATTGATTGAGGAAGTACGTGAAAGGTGTAGAATAGAAGCGGACGAGAGGTTGTCGCACAACTTTAGGGAAAACTCCAAACTCTTCTGGAAAGAGGTTGGAAGGTCCCGGAGTGGTGCGACAGCCTTAAGAATGAACAAAGTGCTTTCGAGAACCAATGACGTCCTCTCAGAAAAATAGGACGTCATGCAGCGATGGAGTGAATTTTATAGAGAAATGTATGCGTGTCATGATCTTAGTGAAGGATCCGGGGGTGACGCCGTGACTGGCACGCCAGACACGGACCTCGATGACACTGAGGTCATCAGCATGAAAGAGATTGAACGTGCGATTCGAAGTTTGAAATGTGGTAAGGCTGCGGGACTAGACAGAGTTACTGCTGAAATGGTCAAGTACGGTGGGCCTCGCGTCTGGGACAGCTTCCATCTGCTGTGCAATTTGTGCTGGCGGACGGGAGATATCCCGGATGATTGGCGATCCGCGGTCATTGTGCCTTTATATAAAGGTAAAGGTTCACATTTTGACAGCGGGTGCTATCGGGCGATCAGCTTGACCAGTTTAGCAAGTAAAGTTTACTCGAAGGTTTTGACAAGTAGGTTGCAAGAGAAATCGGAAAGATTCTTATGGGAGGCACAATGCGGATTTAGACCTGGAAGAGGATGCACGGATCAAATGTTTTCTCTCCGCATGTTCACGGAGAAGCTTCTGAGTGTTAACCAGAAGATTTTCTGTGCTTTTGTGGATCTGGAGAAAGCATTTGATAAGGTTATAAGGAAGAAAATGTGGGAACTGTTGCCGGGATATGGTGTGGATGGTCGATTGTTAAGGGCTGTGCAGTCACTTTACTATGACTGTAAAGCCTGTGTGCGGGTAGGGCATGACCTGTCACCCATGTTTAGCGTCCAAACGGGCGTTAAACAGGGTTGTGTCATGTCTTCCTGGCTGTTCATACTGTATCTCGACAGCTGTTTACAGAAGCTGAAAAATAGCTGTTTGGGTGTGAAATTGGGTGACATAAAAGTTAATTGTCTGCTGTATGCTGATGATGCAGTGCTTATTGCACCATCAGAAGCAGAACTGCAGGCATTAGTCACGTGTATGAAAGAGGAATGTGAAATTAAAGGTCTCCGTTTGAATGCTAATAAAACTAAGGTTCTGGTATTTGAAAAGGACGAAGAGAGAACGAAATGTGAAATATGGGTAAATCAGGAATGTCTAGAACAGGTAAATGAAATTGTATACTTGGGGAGTGCTTTCAGCCGGGATGGAAGATGTGATTTAGATGTGGATAGGCGTGTCGCTGCCGGAAACAAAGTCAATGGTGCCCTGAATGCAGTAGTCAAAAAGGCAAGGCGTGGTGAAGAGTGCACGCCTTGCAATACATAATGCAGTGTTGGTACCGACTTTGTTATATGGCAGCGAAACCTGGGTATGCCAGAAGAAGCATAAAAGCAAGTTGAATGCAGTGGAGATGCGATCTCTTCGTAAAATGTGTGGCGTTACCTTAGCCGACCGAAAGCGAAACGAAGAGATTCGCAATATGGCAGGATTGAAAGATGACCTTATCACAAAAATTGATAGGGGCGTACTCCAATGGTTTGGGCACGTTGAACGAATGGGTGAAGACCGAATGGTGAAGAAAATATATAGAGCGAAAGTAAATATTAAAAGGTGTCGAGGTAGACCGAGACTAACTTTCGAAGACCATGTAAGCAAATTGCTCGAAGAGGGGAGGGTCAAGAGTACTCGGATACCTAGACGTGCATGTATGAAGAAGTTAATGAACCTGAAAGAAGCGAAAGAGGTATGTAAGGATCATGACACTTGGCGATCTGTTCTCTCTGGCTACCCCGTTAGGGATTGTGCGTGAAGATAAGTAAGTAAGTAGTAAATTTAGCTCTCAAAGTCCATTAATTTGTAATAACATGCAGAGGTTATAAAATTTTACTCAAACGAAGAGTCTTCAAGGTCTCCATACCCAAAAACAAGTAGTGTATTGCCAGACGCTTCAGTCATTACATAGATTCCCTAATTTACAACAAAGTAGTCAGCGTCTGCGATATAAAACATTGCTCTGTAAAATACGCTAAAACAAAAATTGTTTCCCGGCTTGCCTCCTTAAATTAAGACTCGACAGAAAAAATGTTCTTACACCTAACATAAGGGCAACTATCATCATTATTATTGACATTTGCACACTAGTTTTTAAAATTAGTATTTTGTTTTTAGGTAAACCAAACGAAAACTAATCATAAATTATTAATGCTAATTGGGTACCCACGGTACGCACAGGATGACCTGGTGTGAGTATTAACGGATACTTGCAGGCTTTGTAGTTCTTTTATCTGAAATAAACATTATGTATTTTCATTTTAATTTTCACTTAAAAATAAATATGAAAATTTAGGCAGCAGTTTGTCTGCATAGTCAAAAATAAATTGCCACATTTGAAACATTTATTTAGTCTTACATTTTTTACAACAGCAAATCTGAAGCAGCTCCGTTTTGCAGTCATAACTGGGATGTGGTCTACTTTTGTGTGTACTAAGTTAGAGATAGGACAGCAACGATATATAATTTACGTTTTTTGTTTTTGTATGTTGGTTTATCCCCTGAGCATCCTTAGATTTCTTCATCAGAGCTTATGGCGTTTTCCCAAACTAAATGAAGTAAGTAAATACCAGCGGCCAAATAATATCAGCAGGTCGATCTTTTAGTTTCGTCGTAGTTTTTTTTAGTCGAGGCTTTTAACAGTAGCTTCATTAGACACATAACACCGCCAACCGATATGTTTACGTCAACGAGTCGATCATTGCGCTATTTATCTAGTATCGATGGGCGTTGAATGAACGAACTATAGTTAGTGCCAAATCGATTGAGAAAAATGGACGATGACCTCCAAGAAAATCTAAAATAATGATATTATTCACACTTGTCACATAGTTTTTTTTTTGTTTCTTAAATAAAATTTCTGTGTTCCTAATTATTGCAAAAAATGTGTTAATCTATATTTCAATTTATGTAATAAAAATTATTATAAATTTCATGTAAAAAAATATTTGAAGCAATATAATCACCATATTGAGCTTTTGAAAATTCATCCCTTTAAAATAAACAAAACGCGCGTTACCACGCCGTCTCCACCATCTCCACCATTGCGCTCGCGCACGGGAACAACTGCGCGGCCGCCTTCGTTTTCTACCACTTCGCTACCTTCGCTACCACCACCGCCAGCGCGTCCGATAACGCATCTGAACAGCGCAATGCTTTGAACTTTAAGCTAGCGTGTTGGGCGCTCCCGTGCAGTGTATCTCCAACGTAATCTATCCTATATGCGCTTAATACAACAAATTTTTCGTGAGCAAGGAGCACACCGTATTTAAATGGTTCTAAGGAAGGCCTCCACCGCCGTGGACAAGTGGGCGCCGTACGTAGCAGTTTGTGCTGTGTAAAATGCTGCCAGTTGTCGGTCATCTGGTGGAAGTACAGTTGCAGATGCAACTGCGCTAACTCTCACGGCGTGGTCGGCGTCACACACGAGCGCACCGAAAGAGACGCGCAGCTTGTCGCGCAGCGCGGCGCGGATCTCCGCGTTGCGGCGCCCCACCGCCACGCGCTACTCCAGCCGCATGTAGTCGTACTTCCCTGTCCTCTTGTGCCCCGCTGCTAACCGCCTAAATAGAAGCCACGCATTCCCGTGTATGAATGAAGGGGCGCGGCGTACTCTTCAGTGAGTGAGCGCGCGCAGGCCACGAGCTGGTCTAGGGCGTCCTGTGAGCCGTCGGTAGGCTCGCGGTCACGCTCCAGCCGCTCGGGCGACCATTTGCCGCGTTGTTTAGCACTTTCACGGGGGGAATGGTAACTCCAAAAACGCACATTTGCATTTGTGTTAATTAGTTGGTTAGCTTCCACTTCCGTTTCCCTTAACGCACGGGCATGCCCAATGCGGGGCTAGATTGGTGGCCTTAGTTAGTTCTCCCAGTAGGAAGCTATTATATGATTTTTTATATTTTTTACTTCATAGAGTCATTTATTGATTATATTTTAAATTAGTCACCTATATATTCTTTATTATCTTCATAAATCGCTTACTCTAAACCATCAATATATTTAACACGTAATTTTGTTTGTTGATTGTATATAAAATATAAGTTAAGTGTCAACTTTATGTTTTGACATAGTTATGTTAGGACTGATATATCCGCAATACACAATGTACACAGCATGAACTTTAAATTAAATAAGACATTGTTATTTCACTACGTTGTTATATCATAAAAGTATGTATTAGTATTTTAGTAATAGATAAAATACTTTAAAGAAAATATTAATTTCTGTGAGAAAATATCGCAATGGCAGTGAAATGGCTAATACGTATTGATAAATGAGGTTTAGTTATTAATGTCTTTTCTCGAGGTATAAATCAGAAATATTGAATCTTATTTTCAGCCAGTCTAAAATTCAGTCATTTATAATCGCTCTGGCTAATTTTTGAACCTTTTCCAATGTAATAGAATCTATATTAATTTCGAATTATATTCATTTATTTTCCTTTATTGGTGTGGTAGTAAATAATGGACAAAGTTAAACCATTTGCATTGTACTATACAAAACTCAATGTTTGGGTAATTTATTTTTTACAACTTCTAAATAAATTCTCGTTTTCGTATAAATAAGTTAATTTATATTGTTGCTACAAGTATTCTTAACGCATCTACCTATGGAGTGTAGAGATAAGGAGTGCAGACTCTGTATAAAAAAGTGTCCTAAAAAATAAAAAAAGCACTAAATAAGGATGGCACCACTGTAGCTACAGTTTAACTTTTAAAGAATTTTTTATATTTTTTTTTATTTCATAGTCTCACTATAATCATTTTTACAATAATTATTTTATTGCTTTCAAAATTTTTATTTTAAAAATTACTCTCAACGTATTTACGGCGATTTATCATACATACCCCGTAGCTACTCGAGCGCTGTAGTGGAGAGTTTTTGAACTGTTATTTACTACTTACAGATGGACACATTTTCAACTATTCTTTTTTCTCTTACCTCTATACTCCATGCATCTACCTTTTTACTCAAGGGTAACAACACATCTATATTTTGACGCTTGAACGAGAATGGAAGAAGGTATCTATGGGCTACAGCATCCAGTTAACAGTAAATGAACTATGTGT